TATATATATATATATTTAAGTTTTCTTTTGTTAAAGTCGCTGACTCGTTGTCAGTGCTAAAAGTTCGTTATTTATTTTTATTTAAATATAGTTTTAACACAGCCTGTGCTGTTTTTAACAAATGTTTAAATTTTTTTCTACTGTTGTATAATTTTATATTACCACTTTATAGACATTAGGAGATTTTCGTGTCAAATTTTATGAACTTTTATACAAGTTTAACTTAATAAAAACTTTATTTCCAAAAATACTTGTGTGTGTTATAATACATATACAGAATTATTCGTTAATCATAACCTACTCAATTAATTCTAAAATAAAAATAATTTCACAAATATATTTTGACGTTTTTGAGTTACGTATGTTTTTTAATTTATCAATTATTAAGTTCTTTTCCGGATTATCCTTTATGTCTTATAAGAGTTTCAACTTGAATTTTTTAAATGATAACATACATATTTAGCCGAGCTTATAAATAAATATAAATAGTTTACTCTAAAGGGTCAAGCGACCATATAATATAAAGCCAGCCGTAAAGTGAAATGGTATTTTGTTTAACCTGTCTGCATATTTCAATGGAATTTCTAATCGTTTAAAATGCGTTTTCTGACATTTTTCACGGTCGAATGGCTGGTCTTTATTGAGGTCAATACTTTGAATTGATTGCGGGAAAACTTGCTAAAAAAGGCAGTGTTCTAATGTTCACTTTAATTAATGATCTTTATGGCGTGGGTCGAACATTGATAAACAAAAAGAGAGGGATGCATGTAGTAGACAAGAGTGATACCGTGTCCATATATTGCCGGGCTTACATCAACAGTATTCTATTTAAATATATTTAATGTATATTAAAATTAACCATCTCTTGAAATTTAGCAAAAATTATGAGAATAAATAAGATTGTTATATTGTCAATATCATAACTAAATTCTAAAATATCATTGCAACTAGAAGATCTCCTAGTAGGTATTGAAATGGAATCTTAAAAGTGTTCATTTCAATAATCAATACTTAGCAAAAAAGACTTAGGAGAATGCAATAGTCATGCTGAAAAAGAAGATAATTTCAGTAGAGTATCAAAAACGACTCACGAGGGTCCCTATAAAAAAATTAAATAGAATCCTTTAAGTAAAATGAAAAGGGAGGCTACAAACGTTATCAATAGTTCAAAATTAATAATTGAATAATTAAACAATTATCTGGTTATACCATTCAAAATAATGACAGGTTAATTTCTTTTGACGTAGTAGACTTATTTCCGAGTACTACGATAAATATAACAATTGGTTTTCTTGAAGACTGGCTCAAAGAACAAAACATAGAATAGGATAAAATAAACGAGATCATTAATTTAACAAAGTAATATATGAGTCAAAATGCGTTTCAGTTTCAAAATAAATTTTATAAGCAAATTGAGGGCACCGCAATAGGAAATCAGCTATCACCATTTTTTAGCAGAAATTTTCATGAGTAGGTATGGTGATTTTCCAAACATTTTGGTTAGGTAAATAGATGATAAATTTGTAGCAATAAACCAAGATTTTAATACAAAGATTATCATACAACATTTTAATTATTTTTTACCAATCGATTAAATTTACATATGAACAGGAATTAAAGGGAATATTGCCTTTCTTGGATTTATTAATTAAAAGAATGGGGGGCTAAATTTTGAAATTTATTGGAGAATCACCCACACGTTCAGGTATATTCTGAACAATTCGAACGACATCTGGGGACACAAAATGACAGCTTTCAATAGTAAGGTTTACAGATTAGTTAATATTTCCACGGATAAAATAGAATTTTTAAAGAACTGGAATTTTTAAAAAAATTAGCTAGATTTAATGAGTATGATGAAAACATAATTTTAAAATTAGTCCGAACACAAAAGTGGAATAAAAAAAGGAGGGCAGCTAATACACCTACTAGCATGGAAAAATAAATTGTAATTAGGATGCTCATTTTACATTATCTGGGCTAGTTATAATTTTTAAGAATTTTGATATTAATTAAGAACATCTAACAGTAAAAATTTAAGAGATTTATTAATTAACCTTAAAGATAGATTAAAACAAAAGGGAAAACAGGAATTACACAGTTACAATAAGTGTCACGTAAAAAACAAACAAAATAAAATATAGGGATCAGGTTTAAAGAACACTTAAAAAACATTAATAATCAATAAGTTGATAAATCTCCTATGGCTTAACATTTATTGACACATAATCACTCTATTAAAGCCATAAAACAAATTAAAAACGTAAATAATTACGAAGAATTTTAATATAAAGAAAGGCAAAAGAAGTGTTCAAAAATAAAAATAATTTAATTAATTGAGTGGATTTTGGCCCACTAAAAAATGTTTTACTAAACTTGTGTAAACTGTAAAATGTAACGATCGACTAGGTATTAACGTCACTAATATAAGGACATTTTTTAGTTAGATATTATTAGGTATACTTAATATAAATATTACTATTGCAATTTTTGTTATGTAACAAATTTTGTATACGACCAACAAGTTTAAATGATGTATTACTTGATTTATTTCGAATTACATCTACACATTTTATGTGCGTGTTATACTTTAAGTGATACTACTTAAAAATTTATTTATTTTAAGTTGTAATACATTAAAATTATTTATACTAAATTGATTTATAACTTTGAAAATCGTACTAGTTTATAGAATTTATGTTCGCATTAAAATTACTAGTTTAGATTTATTAGGATTATTATTGAGACTATTCCTAGTATTTTAAATAATTATTGCGTATATTGACTATCAGAAAATTAATTTGTAGATTTTTTCATTTTTGTTTGATCATAAAAACTTCTTAAATTTTTTTTAATAAACGTTATATATTTTAAAAACATTTTTTGACAAAAATAATGAAAGTTAAACGGTTTTTTTTTTTGGTAAATTAATTCATTATAGCTTTCAATACATTGTAAGAAATTATCGAAATATTACAATATGTCAGATGATACTTTAAATATACACGTTACTTTTACACACAAATAGTTCTAATTTTGCCATATTGTATCGTAAATTCGCACACAAATATAACGTTCTTTCATCATGTCTTAAGATTTTTTCTTATCTTCTCTATGTTAAAAATTTCCCACTTATGTACAAAATTCGAACCTTTTTTTTTAACAGTGCACATAGTATTAATAAAGCTCGAATATTTCTATTTATTACTGTTATTATTTATATAAAATAGTTTGTAGATATGGTGCAATAATTTTTAAGGGTATATGAGAATCGATTGCGAGACGGTTGGGTTATTATTTTTAAAAACAACATTTCAATCTAACACAAATTTAAATTATTTGTAATAATTTTAATTTGCAAAAAAATTTGTAATAACAAAATACAGACTGATTGATTTATTATTAATTATTGTATATCTTTTATAATAATTATAATAATAATTATTATTATAAATATTAGGGTGAATCAAAAAAAGTAGATCTTCGAAATTTTAATGATAACCATTTTAATTTTATTTTATACATTAAAATATGGTATATTTTTAGTAGGTCTCAAGTAAGCTTAAACATTTTTTTTTATGCACTTTGGCTGATATTTATGTATATTTTAAGTAGAAAAAAAGTTATTCTCTTATCTTAAAAACGTATACCTTTTTTTTTACAAATAAAGTGTAAGCTAAAATATATGATATTTTGAAAATATTAATAAATACCTAAGTTAAATACTTTTCAATTACATTTTTTTTATTTACGTTTTCAACGATTGTAATTTTGATATATTATCGTAAATGTAAAATTATATATTTTATTTATCTTAAAATTGCCTTTTTATAAAACAAAACATGTGTTTTATAATATGGTATAATAATGATAATTTATGGGTTTATTTTTACTTACAAAAGACAGAATTATTTGAAATCTCAAATACATAATTTTTTCAAATTGATTGACCTGAAAAAAAAAATTATTTTTAATAATTATTAATACAATTGTTTCTTAAGAACCACGAAATACAAAAATATTAAGACACTATGACACAATTTTATTAATTTTGATTAGCTTGGCTGTTATTAAGTGTTTCGAGCTACTCTACAATATTATACCATAAAATAATTAGCTCATGATTTAATATAGCTAAAAACTAACAATTTAGGTATTCTTGAAAATATTTATAAATGATAATTGATCATCAAATACTTTTCAATTATTTTTTTTATCAAGCAATTCATTTATACTAAGTATAATAAATGACATAAGAATACAATTTTATGTTATGATAAAATTATACATCAGTATAAATCCAATTAAAAATTATAAAAAATCAACATACATACCTATGTACTTCATACNATCCAATTAAAAATTATAAAAAATCAACATACATACCTATGTACTTCATACAGGTTTACTTGATTTTAATAGTAAAATTTAGAACGTTTTTAGTTTTAGTTAAATAATTTTTAATATTATAATATTAGGTTAGAAAAAATAAAATTCATATAGTATTAATAAAAATAATTTTTGTTATGAATATAATTATACCATAATATAATTATTTTAAAACTAATACAGTTTTAATATAAACTGTAATTTAAGACATAACATTTTATTTTTTTACGTATCATTTACGTATATATCATTTGTAACTCAGCTTTTAGTGTATCTTATGAATTACAATTGACAATTATAACTGACAAATTTTTAGTAAAATTTACGTTTAGTTTAATTTTAGTGTATAAAAGCAAAGCCCAAATCTCGTCGTATAATGATTACGACAAAAAAAAAACATTATTGGCCAAAAGCTCTTACTAAAAAGTTCTGTTTTAGCTAATTTTTTATATTTTCAATGTGTGGCCAAAAAACTAATATCTATTAGTCAACATCTTATTTCAAAGCTATTAATACAGGTGTGATCGAAAACTGATTCATTACACNAACTGTTTCATTACACTTCAATGTAAAATCGTTACACAAACAAAACTATAGGAAGTGAATTTAGTTAAAAAAGTCATAAGATACTGTCTTTGATATTTCAGTCGATAATTCTTCAGAGATCAATTTCTTAAACAAAGAAAGTAAATTATTTATTGCTAAACCAGTCTTTAGTGCTAAAACTTCAGAATATATTAAAATTCTCGTTAGAACTACCTAATCGACTTGAAATATAAATAATAATAATTTTGAAAAACTTGAACTGAGAATACTAATATAGTTGTTGTATAAATTAATCGATGACGACACGCCGCAAATGATACGTTGAGTTTTCTTCCCGTCGTCAAAGTTACTATGTCGAGGATGTACGTCACTGGTTACGGACGTGTCACACGAGAGGACTCGACGAACCGATCCACACCGTCGCTATCAACGCTGTTAACTTTTTAACGTATGTATGACTCAGGAAAACACAGAACCCCGTCAAGTTAATCTTTGAAATATTTTCTCATTAAACGACACTATGCTCGAGACGTGCACATACTCGTATCGTACTCTTTTTATAAGTCGTCATACTATTAATATGACANCTTTTTATAAGTCGTCTTACTATTAATATGACGACCGGTGGTCTGAATACACATCCTGACAATAATCTAAGACATACATTTTACCCAAGTATTCGTCTCGTTCCCGGTGTATTGACGTACTGCTTATTTTACTTGCATCTTTGAAACGGTTCGTTCACTGAGTCTTAGTGGAATTCTGTCACAAACTGTCGACTCACATTTCTTTAGTTAAACAAATTGTATAACTTGACTACTACATCATGCCTCTTCAGTGAATAACTTGTTTTTATTTTATTTTTGTTTCTGTTTTGTTTAACGAATGTAATATACAAACCCAACCCCATACAATATTAACATACATATAGTATATTTTCGACCGTTATACAAGTAGTAAAATAAATCATAAAATATCTCTGTTGATTTTACATTATATCTCAGTTTTAATTAGTAAGAACTACATAGTCAAAAACAGAGTTCGTCGTTTAATATCAGCACATTATGGTATACATTTATTTAAATCAAAAATTAAAAACTTATTTTATATAAAATTTTTGAGTATTTACTACTGATAAATTTTTATTTATAAATATATAAGTATATTTCAATTAGTTTTATATTTTGAAACATAGCTTTTCGAAAACTTAGTATTGTAGATTATGGTTTTTTAGAAACACCCAACAATAAAATATCTGAATCCATTTTTTTCTTAGCAAAGCGCATTCCCAATTATTTTATCGTCAATTAAAAATGATTGTACTGTATTTAATAAGGATTATTATAAGGATATTCTATAATATCGTAAGCCACAAAAATGATATTAATACCAGTTGCGAGTTCTTTTAGTATTTAATGGTCGATGTATGTTGTTAGCTAATAAAGTCATTAATATTTTCAAGTTCTGAATTCGCATTTAAGTTTTCAGAGGGGAAATAATTTTTAGCAGACGTATTTTATATCATATTATAAATAGGCTTAAAGTACAAAAGATAAAATTGCTTTAAAAATACCAAATATCACAAAACAAAAAAAGATATAATTTTAATAAATGAACAACCCTGCTCCATTACTTAAAATTATAAAACTTATTAGAAGATATATCCAAAACTAGTATAAAGTTCTACATTTGTAGATAATTAATTAATAAATGTAAATCCCATTTTAAAATATAACTTAATATTTTACATGTTGGTATTGAATCAGTACTTAAAAAATGGTAAAGTGTATTCTCTTTTTTTACTAATCTAATTTTTCTTCTTTCTTCTAGAGTGTAAATGATTTATCAACTATTATGGAGCTCACATGTACTTTTTCTTTTGGTTTAGTAAAAATTAGTTTTCTTCTTTAATTTTTATGCTACACGAAGCATTTTAATGTGCAACGTCGAAAAGATCATACGTTTTTGTAATATGTTCAAAATTATTTTGTTTAAATTTTTCATTTTTATTATTTGTCAAAAACTTTTTATAAAGTCATGGGATTTTCACCTTTATCTTAATAATTTGATCATCAATTACAAAAGTAACACTGTCAAGAAGACTAATGGAGATTAGCCTTTTATAAAATAAGAATCGTAATTAACCAAATATCAATAGAAGTTTACATGTTAGTTTGAAGTTACATGGAAGTGACTAGTGATAAAACGAACCACATCCGTGTCTCACTTGAATCCAACACTATCAAATATTAACAACACCCGTAAATATTAATGTATAAAGAGAACTAATTTCAGTGAATTAATAATACAATTTTCTTCAATTTTTATGATACTCAAAGCAATTTGATGTGCAAAATCGAAAATATCATAGATTTCTACCATACCTTCAAATTCTTTTAGTCTAGAATTTAGCTTAGATGCAAAGCTAAATTTTATTTATAAATCATTTTACTATGATGTGTTTTATTATTTTTTTTTTTGTGTCTATTACCACTTTTTCTCAGCTCTCACCAAACTGATTTCTTACAATGATACGTCAAAAGATCACAAATCGTAAATATTCGAAGCCATTACTCTCAAAAATTGAAAAAATTTTCCTCGTTCCCCATAAAGGGAGAAAATCTCCAAAAAATTACTAATTACTAAAATTACTAATAATTTTATTTACATTTTTTAATTCGAAATGTATCAATTTTTTCAACTTAAAACTGCTAAAACTTTTTCAAAAAAGACTAAATCAATATAATTTTTTTTGTAAATGTATAATGACTTTACCTATCATCTGGTATATTTTTTTAATAAATCTGACCCTTTACCTGGCAATAGAGTGGGATTAAAAATGATAACTTTTTCACAAAAAATTAACTTTTTCAACTTAAATTTTGAAAATGTTCCGGAAATACTGACATTTTTATATATATCTTAAATAAAAGTTTATTTAATATAAAAATAAAAATTTCGAACTACATTTTGACTTCAAGATGAAAATGGCTACTATTTTTGTGTTAAAATTCTCGATTTTATATTTTACATTTTTAACTTTAAATTTCTATACATTTTTAAAAAATGTATAAATCAATACAATAGTTAAATGAAAAATGACATTTATATACCTTTTTCATTCGACATACTTTTTTTTTAAATCGAACCATTTTCCTTATTAAATTGTGGGTTCAAAACTTAAAAATGCATATAAAAAGTTAAAATTCTTCAATTTAATTTTTGAAAGTGTTCCGGAAATTTTGACATTTTTATACTGAATATATCTTAAATTAAAGCTTATGTTATATAATTAATTATGAAAAAAAACAATTCAGAGTTTATTACGTTTTTATGGTAAAAACAGACATCAAAGTTAATAAAAAAAAATATGATATTTGTAAAAAAATTCTTTTTTATATTTTTAACTTTATAATGCTATAACTTTTTGAAAAATGTATGGATCATGATAATTTTTTTAAGATAATTACTATTTGTATTCTTATTTTGTGTAACATACTTTTTTATGTGTAACAAAACGGACCATATCCCTTTATTTTTCTAACTTTAAAAATAAGGGTATTTAATAAATGTATTACAATAAACTAATTTGCATATTTTAGGTAGTAACACAGAACGAAAATGACAATGAAAATCTAAAAAATTTTGTAGTTAATTTAAAGAAAGAAATTTATGATGAATGTAATTATTTAACAATTATTGTAATAATTCATATACTTTATTATATTGTTGTATTTTTTAGATGGCTCACTATACAGATTACGTGATGTATTGATAGAAAGATAATTCTACAAGGCACAATTGAAGAATACAGAATTTGGTGAACGTCACAATCATATTGCCGGTGATTATATACTATATAAAATCTCAATAAAATTTCCTCCTAATTTGATATATAATTGGTATTACGAAAAATAAACGTATGACAAAAGAAAAGTTATTATTTTATTTAAATATTCCCATGCCCTATTTTTTTTTAACAATTATTTAATATATTCTACAATTATAAAAAATTGTAATCTCTATATCCAATAATTTATTGTATTTCATTATTATAATTGCTTTAAGTATATTTTAATTTCATTTTCAATTTTTTGTAGATTCTGTGCCGCTCTCGGTTTATTTGTACTTGTAATTGCTTAAAATAATCCGCCAATCTTATTATTTGGACTGAAATATAAAAAGTATGTCTGTTAAATGTCATAAATTCTTTTTGACATCTATTTTATTTGCATATCCTAATAATATTTTTAAGTTATGTTAAATAAAAAATAATTTGGTTTCGTCATTTTTTTGATCTTAAAACAGAGTTTCAATAAAAAAATTTCATAAAAATGATGCAAATACAAATATTTTATTAGCTAATGCTAAAATTTTAAATAGACAATAGATTTGAAGTCAAATTCCTTTCCTTTTAGTTAAACATACAGCATTATCAAGCAATTTTAATTACCCTCATTCAAAAAATTTGCACTCCCAGTGTTTTTATTAATGTTCCATTTATTTCAAAGTAAAAAGTTCAAAAATAGTAATTTACATAATTCCAGCCTTTTACTCAAAAGCATTAGTTTTAGTTGCCAACAAGATTTAAATTTCTCATAACAATACTCGATTTTTAACTTAATGACAATAATTGTTTAATTGATTTTTAATTACACAATTGTAATTCTTAATAGTTAGTAAACTGTAAATATTATTTTAATGTGAAATAAAAATATATATTTAAATATTTTAGCTATGTGAAACCTATTAAAATACCCTTAAACCCATTATTGTAACATCTCAGCTTTTGGATATAAGCGACAAAATTGTCGTAACACAAATTAAACACCAAAAGAGGAGGTTGTAGTAGGTAAAGTGTTTATGACAATGATGTTGAGTCTGCCGCCTGGGTATTCACGTCCGTGTGATCATACGACAGTTACCGTGCTCAGCTGATACTCCGGATTAGTTGTGAGTGTCAAAAGGCCGCTGTTGTAGGAAGGGAATAAAAGTAACACCTAGGTATAAGGTGCAGATGAAGTGCAAGACACAAGTACTATGAAATGTCGAGGATAAGAGTAGGTAGGTTAAAAAAGAAAAAAGACTTGAATTAATGCAGTAAGTCGGACAGCAACAACCGAGTACTGAGACTGATAAATGACACGAAGCACTGGAGTCGACTGACCACGTTGGGCAGTATTTTTGGGTTTTTATAATTATTCTGACGATTGCCAATTTCGCAATATATATTAATTGTTAATTCATTAGTCCTTAAAAGCGGATGTGCTGCCTGTATTTTATTATAATAAATTCTTACAATAATGGTAACGTGACAATATCACAGAATCAATGATCAAAATACAGAAATATAAAAAGATAGCTAATATTTTAGGGTATAAAAAGTGTGTACCATCATATATTATTAACTGTGAATAGATCTACTTAACAGAAATAGTTAGGTCACGTCCGGCGTGATGGAGCGATTGGAATAAGTATTTGGTTGACGTTTATGGTTTAGTTGACTAATGATGATAATCGAAGGTTTTTTAATGAAATCCAAAAGAGCTTGGATAACTAAAAAGATTTCCTTTAGTCTAAATTGTTCAAGAGTGAAAAAGGTAATGCAGAATCTGATGATTGTCTTGTTAAACAGATTGGTATGTTGGAGGTGAAATTATCTTCTAACGAAAAGTCTCTTGGTATTTTGGATACAAGCAATACTTTTTTAGAAGACTTTTAAAGACAATGTAGTAGTGCTACATTAGCCATCAGGGTGACGACTTCAAAATCCGCTGCGTGGTACAAGTCTTCACCACTCAATATACAGAATAACATTAAGAGATACTTAACAACATCTATATCATTTTAAAAAGATAATGTGAGTCATATATTAGCAAAATTACGTATATCTAAGAAATTCTTTTTTTAAAATTTTTTTTTTTTTTTACTATATTAAAGAAACATATAGCTATAGTTAATCGTTAATCGGTCAAGAAAAAGTAAAAATTTTAATCTTTAATCATATAAAATTTGATTTGTGTTTTAATGAAGTTTTTCACTTTGAATAGTAAATTTAAACACTTGATGACATCATAAAAAAAATTGTTTTAAAGTCTAAATGTTAATGTGTCAATACATTAAAATCTAATTTTGTTTCAAAAATAACATTATTTTAGTTTAAATAATTAATATTTGCACTATTTCAGTATAAATTGTAAAACATTATATGTAAAATGACACAGCTAGAATTTAAATATTTGAATAATTTATTTCTAAATTGTTATTTTCTGAAGTAAAAAAATCATTGTAATGCATTTGAAAACTATACTAATCTTTTGTTCATTTTGTTTTTTTACCGGAATAATAGTAAGTCAATTCCAACTTTTATTTATTTATTTATTAAATATGATAATTTTATATTTAAAGAGCGAGGGACTTAACGTATTTCAAATAAACCTCTTTGAATACTTGATAACGGATTATAATATTGGTAGATCCATTGAAAAAATACAACATGCATTATTTTGTCATGATATCGAAGAGACTTACAATGATTATAACCTTGATGGTAATTTATAATTAATATAATTTTTAGCTTTAGATTTACTGACACGATTTTTTCAATATATTCGCCAATTAATGTACTTTGTTTAGTTTTAAATTTATTTAGAATATAAAAAAAAAACTCAACCCAGTAGAGTGGGGTCGCGGCGCAGTGGTGACGTGGCATTGTTAGGTCTAGTATAGATTTAATCTGGCAGTGATTAAAATCACTATCTATAAAAACGCTTCGATGTAAATCTGTAGATAGTGTTTAATTTTAAGAAATTGGTGGATTACTACAAAAGCAACGTGATATCCTAATTCCTTATTTTTATCCTTATTACATGTTTTATGATTTATAAGTGTAATATATGTATAAATATTTATTATAGCAATTAAGTATAATATAAAATTGATATTCAATAATTTAGTAGTGTATTTTTTACGAGAAATTATAAAAAATTATAAAGTAGTTAAAACTTTTATGGCAAACGCATATAAAAGTTAAATTTCTTGTTGCAATATTTAAAAAAAAAAGTTGTATGTTATTTATAAATAAATTTACTGGTTTAGAAGCAATTTTCTTCCGAGACCAAAATATACTTGTCTAAACCCATTTTTGCGCCAATTTCAAATCTGCAATTAAAGTTTAGCATATGGCCTAAATAATAACAAAATCCTTCTAATTAATATAACAAATATTTATGTTTGATTATTATTTTAAGTCTGGATTAATCAATACATATAATTTAATTACGAATAAGTTGAAAAGTTCTACTTTCTATACGCATTTTAAGGTTTGAACCCTCCTGTAAAAAGAAAAATTATTCGATTTAAAATAAATATATGTCTAATGAAAGAAGTATATAAATAGAATTTCTCATTACAAAATGGTACTGAAACAATACATTTTTCAAAAAGTTATAGAAATATTAAGTTAAAAATGTAAAAAATGAAATTGGAAATTTGAGCACAAAAATAGCATACGGTAGTCATTTTCATCGTTAAGACAACATAAAGTCCTAATTTTTTTTTTCTATATTACATTAGGCTTAATTAAAGTGTTTACATAAAAGTGTCAGTATTTCTGGAATACTTTCAAAAGTTAAGTCGAAAAAGTTAATTTTTTTGAAAAAGTTGTAATTTTGTATCCCTCTTGTAAAAGAAAAGGGTCAAATTTATAAAAAAAATTTTTCAAAATAATATTTTAATTGATATAGATTCGTGAATCTAAAAAAAAATGTACATTAATTTGGTCTTTTTTAAAAAAGTTATGGCAATTTGAAATAAAAACAAAAAACCAGCACAGTAAAAATTAAAATTGAGTATTTTCACACAAAAGTCCGAATTTTATTTTTTCCATAATAAAGTATATTACATTAACTTTAATTTAAGATATACATA